AAAGTTTAAAAGTAAATCTTTTTAAGTATAAAATATTTATAGTTTTGAAAACAAAGTTTTGTATAATTATTTTATAAACAAGTATTTTAAAATAAATCTTTTTAAAGTTTGAAAAATAAAACTTTTAGCTTTAACATTGCTTCCATGCATCATTTCTATCCTACAAGCTAAACAATTATTTAAAATAATGGTTTGTAGTTGAAAATAATAATAATAATAATATAAACACAATAATATTGAAAATTACAACATTAATTAAGATTTAGGTGTGTGTAGTTTTAAATAAAGTAATGTGATTTAATCAAATAATAGTAATTATTATTTAATGCTTGAAAAAAATAAATATGATCTTTTATATTTTTTCTTGATTTGATATTATTGGATTTGATCTGGTCTGATCTAATCTGATTGGATCTGGTCTGAATTGATTGGATCTGATCTGATTTGATTGGATCTGATCTAATTGAGTTTGATCTGATCTGATTGGATCTGATCTGATCTGATTAGGTCTGATCTGATCTGATTTTAATAAGAATAAGTAATAAGTATAAAAAATAAGTCCTACAGAATGGACCCTTAGAGCTTCAAACTCAGCAACGAGTTCAGGAAGAAGTACGAGAGGAGGAAGAAAGTTTAATTGAGAAGAGAGTAATATAAATATATAATTTTATCTATATTCTTAACAAAAACGTTAACAAAGGACCATTCGTGATAAATGATATTATAATTAGAAACTATATTAATAATATTTGATATGTAGGGACTAAATATGTAAATAACCTATAACTCGGGACCTTTTGTGGAATTTACTCTAAATAATATTATTGTGATAAATAATTGTTTTTGAAATGTTTTATATTTTACGATTACCAACTTTATACTTTAGTCTGAAAGGGGCTACAGGTCTGGACGGATTAACGTGTTACAATTTGGTATCAGAGCAAATGATTTTAAATCCAATTTTCACATCAAAATCTGATATACACACACACACACACACACACACACACACACACACACACACACACACACATATATATATATATATATATAATTGAGTTTATCTCTTAGATTATTGACATGTGGCATGTCACATGTTCATCCACATATGCATTGAGATGGATGAAGGTCATTGGTCCATTTAATTTTTTTAAAAGGATCTTTTAACATATTTTATTTTATTACATTAGATAAATATTATATTTTAGTACTAAAAATTATTTAATTATACTTTGTATAAACAATGTCATTTTTAACAATTTTATAAAAATATATTTCATCATTGTAAAATATACTCCGTATTATATACACACACACTGCCACACATATATTCTCTCATGATATATCTTTATTTAATAAGTCTATATTTTATTAATTAAAACTATTTTCATTGGTACTTTATTCAACAATGATCATTAGTTTTGTATAAATTTTTTGTTTTTAAATAAACGTACCAATATACATTCTACCAGTTTAAAACATATTTTGTTTACATAATCAAATTATATCTATTAATTTTTTTAACTTTATCGATGTTTTGAAAAAATAAAATGTATTGGACTTTTAAAGTAGAAGATCTAATAATAAATTTATGAAAAAATATGTGATGTGTATATCCTATTTTTAAAAAGGACAATTCGACATTTTTATCATTAAATGCTTGTTTTCTTGACTATGTAAGCAAAACGAGACGAATTCAGAATGTTGGATATGAGTTCAAAACCCTTTACTATTTCTTCTGAATATTTTTTTGTTTTGATGAATGACAAACAGGATGATTAATTTCAAGCTAATCGAAAATTTATTTTCGTATCGAGAAAAGCAAAGAAGGTTATCAAGAAGTTTACGGCGATAAAAATCAACGATCACCCCTACGCAGATTTTTTTGAAGTGAAGTGAAGACTCCGAAGACTTTTTTTATTTTTTAATTAAGTCTAGAAATCTTTCTAAGGATGACAATTTTTTTCTGCACAAACAAATTAGTTTTGAGGGATAAAAATATTTTTTTTTGAGTCAGTTGAAAAATTACTTTTCCTCTGCCTAAAACATTTTACTGAGTCGGTTTCAAAATAAGTGTGTCAAAATTTCTTAGAAACATTTTTTTTAGATTACACAATTTTTTTGGTAAGAAAAATATATTTTAAATATTTTTGGTGTATATCGTTTGACACACAAAATAATTTTTGGACTCTTTTTCTCCCATATTCAAATTCATTGAATAAGGGTTATCAATGAGCGTGCATTGATTCCCGTTGTCTCAAACAATCGTATGAAGCCAAAGGCTTCAATCGCAAATAGGCTTGAGCCCTTTATGTTTGCACGGTATTTTGAAATTAATCGATTCTCTTTTCCTTTTTAATCGATTAATAGACTTCTAGTTGGATTCCCAGGATCGCCAATGATCGATTAATTTTCTTCATTTAATCGATTTGTTAGCACAGATTCACCTAATCGATTATTTTCTTCAGTTTAATCGATTAATTCCTTCCCAAAGTTCAGGTATTTTCGCCTCTGTGTACCTTAATCGATTAATAGTTTCATTTTAATCGATTATTTTTATGTGGTGCATGTTCTGGCTTGCTCCAACGGCTTTATTTTTCCTCAGCCTATTTAATCCCTCATTCTCCTTCATTTCTACACACACCTCTTGCACTCCAATATATTCCTTGAGCTATATTCATCCTTTTCTTCATCTTCCTCGTCAAAATATTATTTTTGAGAGTTAGAAATATTTCTTTGAGTGCTAAAGAAGTCGTTCATCCATAGAGCTTTAATTCTTCAACACTCTTTACTCAATTGTGTGAGCTTTCATTCTTGTGTTGTAAACTCAATCTCTTTTGAGTGTTGTTCTTAAGACTTGTGTGACTCAAGTCTTGTTGTTGTAAGAAAGTGAGGCTTGTGCGATTCAAGTTCTCAAGTTGTACCGGTTTTTCAAGCACCCGTTGAAGTTTGAAGATTAGTAGGACTTTCGAGAGAGCCTCTCGGAGGACTGGACTAGCCACGTGGTGGTGAACTAGTATAAATCTCGGTATTCTTCTTTCCCTTACTCTCTTTATTTATTCCTGCGATTTTATTATTTCACACACGCGAAAAATACACATTCTTGAAAACAACTCTATTCACCCCCCTCTAGAGTTGCATATTTGTCTAACACAGAGTTCATGTAGAAGTAAGAGGGTGTTTGGCAGTGCGCTGCTTTTAATAAATTAGCTTCTATTTTGAGTGAAAGTGATTTTACTCTGTTTGGCATGTCAGCTTCTGTTTTTCATCACTACTATTTTGTACATAGAACACTGTTTTAGAGAACCATGTATGAGGTTCTTTTGCTTTCAGTTTTTGTGAAAATCACTTTATCAATAAGTTAATTACTTTCAAACATCCTTTAAGAATTAAGAATGACTATGGGCCCGTTTGACATCAGCGTTAGAGATTAGCGTTAGCGTTTTGAAAAGACTATCCAACGGTAGCTTTTAGCGTTAGCGTTTTCAAAATTAATCTACACCATTAAAATTATATCCAAAACGCTAACACTAATCGAAAACGCTGTTTCCAAACAAGATCTATGTAAATCTATTTAGTTTCTTAAAACAATGATGTGAATAATCAAATTTGAAAGTTCCCATTGTTCACAAAACTCCATTCTCAAACTCCATTCAACACTTCCTCCCCCTACTTCGGCAATACCCCTCCAGCGATTTACGCCATAACCTCTGAAGTCTCCGACCAGACTCCAACCCCACCAAGAACGGCATCGCCAGACTCTCAAGTTCTCATCTGCGCGAATCCGGTCCAGGTATGAACCCTATTTTCTTTTTTTCCCAATTTTGCGCGAACCCAAAATTTTCTGCAGCTTTGTTTAAGGCCTTCAAACCTGTGTGAACCCTAGTCTCATTTTGATTTTGGTTTTCAATACAACAATTTGGTGCGAATTATATCTTTATCCGTATTCCCATTCCCATTCCCATTCCTTCTTCTCTCCTTTCCCATTCCCGTTTCTTTCACACTCGGGCGCTGCCACACTCCTCGCAGGGCGCTGCAACTCCATCCGCCGGCCGCCACAGGTATGTTCTCCCCTCCCTTCCT